CCCCCCCCCTAAAACCGTGCATCCCAATAGAAGTTGGAAGGCGAGTGGGGGAAGGAGCGCGGGAAAGGGGCGAGGGGGAAGGGGTTCGTATTAAGACGGGGGCTTAAGGCGAGTCATGGCATAAGCGTAAATCTCTGTGCAAGGCTGGGAAATTATGTAGCACACGAGTGTGGCGGCGCGCTCGTGGTGCGGGCACTAACTGCCTTAATGTGTTATTGCACGTATTGTTGGGGGAGGGGCGAATTACTTTCAATTGCATGACTATTTTGAGTACTGTACAAAAAAAAGAACAACAACAACACAATCAGCTTGCACTTAAATCCATAAATTCAGCGAAGCCACTTGCTACGAAGGCAGCACTACATTTGAAGGTGTAACAAATAAGGGATATGACAATGCAGTTCATGGAAATGTTAAGAACACGTGACAAGTGTTATTTATTATTGTCATTCAAGGAAATGAAACATATCTCCACATACATTTTTAGGATTTTACTGGATTTTTGCTTGTTAAGCGGCCTACGTTTCGTGTTTTATGTAGAAGAAATAATTCTGATTTCGGTGTAAGTAATTATGAGAATCTTTGTTAGTAAAGTCACGACTAATTACAAGACATATTTTTAGATTCGTATTCGTATTAAAGTATGCATGCTTGTAGATTAACTTCTCAATAACCGATGGAGCTTTTGGAGAAAACCGACAAAAGGGGCAGAAAGTCAGCAGCCGGGACCGAGAGTGCAATTGCCATTTATAGGTCAAGAACATAAACCGATTCCCGTCGTCGTGCGGATTGTGTGGAAAATACCCGCAGCTGCTGCCTTTCCTTTCCGTCTTCGCCCCGCCCTGCTGCCCCGCCCCGCCCGACTTCCGCCCCCGCGGGATAAAGGAGACGAGCTTAGATCTCTGTTCGGCTCAACCCGATACAGGTAGACCGAGCCGATTCACAGACGGAACGGAAGAAAGAGAACAATTCCCCTCTTCTATTCGAGGCGGCGGCAGCGGCCCTCTTGTTCCGCGTCGGCTGCTCAGAGGGGAGCCAGGCAACCCGCTGCAGCTGCCACGCCTGCAGCTGGTTCCCCGCAAGACCGCAAAAGGCGCCCGCACCCAGGAGAAACTTTGGTAATTGTTTACTTGAGTGACTCCTCGCCCTGGAGTCACTCAAGTATACCATCGGAAAGGTATTTTTCAGTAGAATCCTAAACAA